CTTTTCCTTTTCCTTTCCCTTTCCCTTTCCCTTTCCCTTTCCCTTTCTCCTTTTCCTTTTCCTTTTCCGTTCCCTTTCCCTTTTTCCTTTTCCTTTTCGCTTTCCCTTTTCTTTACTTTTCCCTTTTTTTTTCCCTTTCCCATTTCTTTCCTTTTTCTTTCTCTTTCCCTTTTCTCTTCCCGTTCTTTGCCTTTTTTTCCTCTTTCACTTCCCTTTCCCTTCTTTTCCTTTTCTTTTTCCTTTTCCCTTTCCTTTTCCTGTTCCTTTTCCCTTTTCCATTTTCTTTCCTCTTTCCCTTATTTTCCTTCCTCTTTCCCTTCTTTTCCTTTCCCTCCTTCCTTTTACCCTTTCCCCTTCCCCTCTTCCCTTTCATTTTCCCTTCTTTTTCTCCTTTCCCTTATCCTTTTCTCCTCTTCCACTTCAATTTTTTTTTCTTTTCCCTTTCCTTCCCTTTCCCATTTTTCCCCTTCCCTTCCCCTCTGTCCAACCCCAATCACTGTGTGATCCCCATGCACTGAGTCCCTTCAGACTCCATCCCCACCCCATCTACTCCTTGGCACTCACCTCTCACTCCCCTCCATTCGAGGCAATCACCGTTCCTGCAACATTCAGGATTACTTTTTTTTTCCCCTAGGTACTTAATCACCCCTATTACCCTTTTCTGATTAATTAATTCTAATTAATTTCACACTACCACTTGGAGGTGAGTTGACCAGCACTGCACGCGTTGCTCCCAGTGACCAGCATGCTGCGTGCCCCATTCAGGTGCCAACGATCCAGGGGACACAGGGGATCCCACACCCCACACACGCTGCCCTGCGCCCCACACCTCCAGCACTGCACTGCAGTGGGTTTGGGACGTCACAACAAATTAGGTCAGTGCTCTCCTTGTGCTGCTGGGAGCCACCAATGTGCCCAGCACCAGCTAAATGTTACACACTACATGCTATACACTATCTGTTATACACTATATGCTATATATTATGTGCTATATACTGTATGCTCTTTGCTATATTTATACACTATATGCTATATACTGTACTAGATGGCAGGTGACAGCTACAAGATACTGGTTATTAGCAAGAGCAGTGCGTATATAAACGTTCTCTCTATAGACTGTGTATATAATTTTATGAACATAATATTGTGTGCATGTACATACACAGATACAGTTTACTTGGACCACACATCTGTGTACGTACACATATATGTACATACTTACACATTTGTACATACATACACACGTATTCCATACCACACACGCCATACCTACACACACGTGTATTTACACAGCACAGATACATGGATACATGCATCTATACGAGACATAAATATATCTATGCATACATAAAATACTTGTAATATGTATACCTGTGTATGTGTATCAGTGTACATGTGTTTCCAGATGGGGCAGTGGCAGGGAGAGAAGGGGATGTGGAGGGTGAGATGAGGGCGAAGGGAAACCGCTCCGGGTTACAAAAGCTCCTTATTTGATTAATTGTACTTTCTGTTTGATAAATGTTACTCATGAGTATAAAATATGCAAAGCACTTAGCAAGTTCACACTGTTTAAAGAACTCAACTAACCAAATTAAAATTCCATGATAGGAAGCAAGGCGCTGCAGAACGGCACGGCGAGGCGATGCGCAGGGAGCCGACCCTCAGAGCCGACTTCCAGCCCTGCAGCCCCCACAACCTTCCCCTTCCCAGCCCTCCCGAAATGGGGCTGAGTACAAGGGATGAAGGGGAGCCCTCCCAGCAAGGGGGGGATGGAGCACCCAGTGTCCTCCATGCGTTGTCGTGGTCCTGCCCCAGTCAATGTGCAGTGAACACGCTGGGGAGGATGCAGTGCTCAGAGGGAGGACGCAGCGGTTGGTGGGAGGATGCAATGTGTGCTTGGGGAGGATGCAGTGTGCACATGAAGCAGTTTCCCAGTTCCCAGTGCTGGCTCACGCTGGCTGTGCAGCTCAGCCTGGAGCAGGACTGACTGGAGCAGCATGTGCACAGGCAGCAGCTCCCCAGCCTGCACGACAGAGCAGAAAGAATGAAGAAAACCCGGCCTGGATCTGTCCTGCCTGCCTGCTTCCCTGGGCCCCTCTCAAGACTTGTGAGTCCCAGCCTTCAGCCCCCAGCCTCCCCTGCACCCACAAGGGTTGGAGGTTGGCTGTAGGCAAGGGTGACTCTCTGGTCGCTCTTGCAGCGCTCTATGGTTAAAGCCATTGCTGGGTGGGGGCACCATTTCTCCAAGCATTGAGTGGATCCACACCTCCTGCCAGAGCAGCTCATGGCACTGCACAGCCCAGCGCAGCCCCAGCACCCTGTGCAGCCGATGCCAGGCTGAGCAGCACGCAGAGCCCCTCGCCAGCTCAGCTTCTCCTTGCAGTCTGAGCAATGATTTAGCACCCATTAACCCACATGGCTGTAAATCCCAGCACACACAGGTCCCAAACATTCATTTCAAGCAACGCAGTTTGTGTCATTTCGGGATTAGTGTTTACTCTCTTGTTAATTAATATTTGTTAAAGCGAGGCTAAAAAGAAAGCATTTGGCTTCTGCTTTGGTGAATGCCTCTGTGCCCTCGAGGAGCAGCATGGCTGGGCTCAATGCATGGGGCCATAGCCAGAAGGGGGAAAAATTGCTATCATCTGTACATGGGGAGAATGCAGCCCCACACTGATGGAGGGAATGATGCAGTTCCTGCTGCTACTGCAGGGGGCACCTCAGGGCCAGAGGGCATCATCCCAGGTGGGGCTGTGCTGGTGCCAGGAAAACTGCAAGTCATGCGAAGGCAGCAGTTTGGAATAGGAATTGGAAATGGAATAGGAACAGGAATGGGAATAGGAATGGGAATGGGAATAGGAACAGGAATGGGAATAGGAATGGGAATGGGAATAGGAAGAGAAACAGGAATGAGAACAGGAATGGGAACAGGAACAGGAATGGAAATAGTAGCAGTAGAAATAGCAATAGTTATAGCAATAGCATCAATAGCAGCAATAGCAGCAATGGCAATAGTAATAGCAATGGTAATGGTAATGGTAACAGTGATAGCGACAGTGATGGAGTAATAATAACAACAATAAGGAGTTAATTCTTTATTAATCTTTATCAAAGAAATACAAACAAAAAACCAAAAAACAAAGTCTACAACTTTATGCAACTCTGAGGCAGCCCAGGGTGACAGCTTCACATCCCTTAAATTGTGAAATGGTGCAAGATTTGGATCCTACCCCCAGAGCACTTTCTGGCTTCCATTGTACTGGATGGTCCCAGGTGTCCCAGCAGCTGCAGAGCAAACCCTGAGGCCAGGACCCTCCAGACACCTCCAGGTCTGAGCCCAAGGCTGGCTGGAAGCAGGGGAAGGGCAGCACCCCCTGCTCCTACTCTGCACCCTTCATTTTCCTACATTTCCGGGCACAGAAATGAAGCAGCCCCTCCCTGGTTCAGTGGGGGGTGAGGATGGTGCCAGGCCAAAGGGCTGGGGCTGCTCACGGGGGTCGAGGTGCCCACAGCCCACAGCCCGCAGCCTGCGATGCGCTTGGCGATGCAGCGCGGCTCGCGCGCGCCAGGAGTGAATGTTAATGGTGCCGAGCTCCTGGGAGAAGTGATCAAATTCTACGTCGAAACCAGCGAGGAAAGGAAGGGGAGGGGGGAGGGGGGGGGGAAACAGCTCTGCAGATTAATTCTGCTGATGAAAATTAAAATCGGGCATCTCCAAACCCAGACCAGGAGTAGCTGCCTCATTCCCAGCGCCTTCGGTAACCCCAAACCTCCCAGAGGGCATCTGGGCACTGCAGCAGGGGACGTGGCAGGGCCTCAAGGGGCCATCGTTGGGCACCCCTGGGTGGAACCCCTTGCACCCCACCTCCCTGCTCCTCTCCATATCCTCTCCCCTGCCAGAATTTGGGTTTTATCCCCGGCTGCTTCCCTCCTCCCTCCTCCTTCCCTCCGCCCGCTCTCCTCTCCTCGCTGCCAAGTCCGCAGGTTTCCCACTGTGACCTTGAGCTCGTGTTCCTGGAGCTGGTTGTGGGCTTCTTAAAGGCGCCGTGTGGGCACGGAGGTCCCTGCCTGCTGCCTCCCCCTGGGATCCACGGAGATGGGGCACCGAGATGTGATGGCACGGCGCTGCTGAGCCCCATGGGCTGAGGATCCAGCCCTGCTCAGACAGCCCAGGATGCACTAAAAGCTCCATCATCCAGAGAGGACCCCAATCAATAGGTGCCTTCAAGGCAAGTCATAAAACTTGGACATTACGCCGGCACCGCTCGGCGCTCCGCGGTGAAGGCGGTGTTTAATTCATGGGATTAAATGGGAGAGAAAGGATGGAGGCCCCAGTGCTGCTGGGAAACCCATGAAGAGTGACCTTAGCCATGGCTGGGGGACACTGCTGCTCATGGGGGGAGCCCTGCAAGCACCCTGTGTTCCTGAGCACCGTGGCCTGGGCGTAA